TAATGACTTCCGTTTGGTGTGTGGTTCGGGTTCGAAGCGCGGCCAGTTAATTGCCGAATGCTTCTCAGCGTCGGCGTTCAAATCTTTCGATGTAGACGACCAGAACGAGGACGAGTTCGAGGATTTTTATTGATTGATTTCTCTATTGTCTGCACCCTCGAATTCGAGCTGGCCGCGTTCTTGTGACTTTTTCCAGTGTTTGCATACAAATCGCTGTTTGTTTTCGTTGTTGTTGTTGCTATTGTTGACCTTATTTATTTACTAATAATAATGCAATAAAAATCAAAGGTTAAATAATCAACCAACTTTTGTTAGCAACTCTATTGATTTAAGCCCAGATCTGAGCTGCAGTTGCAAAAGAAAGAAAAGGGGTATCTGATCCTGGCACTGCTCAGGTGTTGCACGTGTAACTTACCCCTAGATATAGACAAAATTGACGTGCGCTGCTGCCACGCTAATGGCTGCTGCCACTTTATTGTTTGTTGATTTGAATTTTGATTTGCCGCGACCCCCAGCGACACGACAAAGTCATATCAATATCGTGGGAAGCACTAAACACACATACGTTCACAGCTCGGCATATTCAAATTAGCCAAAGAGCACAATACCCACACACACACACACACACACACATGCATACACACACTCATTGACAGACTGAGCTCCCAATATTGAGGAGGAATATCAACCGCCGACGCGAGGTCATGTGAAAGTGCAAATTTATATTGGTTTAATGGTTGTTATACCCTCTACGGCGCAGAGGGACAGCATTGGCTATATCAGGCTATAAGGATATGTATAAAAATAAACAAAACTTTCTCTCAAGAGGAGTGTCCGTATAATATGGAGTAAGAGAAAATGACTGCTTAAGAGGGGTAAGCTCCTAATAGAAGTGTCTGTTACAAGAGACTTCACTGTATCTAGACACGCAAATTGTGAATATCAATATAATGAATATAAACACAATAACATACAAATCTGTAAAATGTTTTGTTGAATTTCTGGTGGGAAATAGGAATTTACTTGCATTTTTAGTTAAATATACTTTTCTAAGCAATAACATTGTGATTGAGAAAGCCTTTCAAGACTTAATAGAGTGGCTTTCGCGGTATTTGTCGATTATCTATTTGGTTTAACTCGGGCTCGTTTACAGGGTATCCTGGACTACATCATTCTCAACTACACGGATCTTTCTTGTTAGGTTTGATTTTTGAGAGACAACGACCTGGTCTCACTCACCCATTCACACACCCATTCACACACTCATTCGATTGTTTTTGTTGTTGCTGCTGCTGCGTGTTGCCTTTTATGCAAATCATTGTAATGCAATATTTAAATTGATGTTCGGTGGCTTTTTAATGGCAAACATTGCCAGACACGCAACTCGGGCCATAAAGTGCTCCGTTTTCGGGGGTAAGTGAGCAGGGGACCGAAAGGTTTTCCTTTCGTTCCTTTCCTTTTGCTTTTACATGTTAATTATGGCACAAACGAACTGCGAAGCATCGGTTCGTGTGAAATCTCGAGTTGTGCGAGTGCTAAATGGATTCATTAATGAGTTCATTCAAATTGCCATTCACATGGACTCAAATAGATGAATTGCTTAAATATTTTCTTTAATATTTGGCTATTATTTTTATCATATTTTAAGAAAATAATCATTATATTTCTGCTTTCTATCTTCTTTTTATAAAAACTTCTGTATTAACCTGGGCACATCAATTTTTATAAGAATATTGTTGATTCATTTGAATCAAATAAGTGTTCGCTAAAACCTGTTCTTCAATTTCATTTACCTGATTAATGCGCTCTATAAATCATATTCGAACAATTTGCACTTGCTGTCGCCGGCGTCAAAAGGCAAAAGCTAATCCTGGCCGCAATGTCAATGGCTAAGCACATAAGTCCGCGCACCCGTTTATGTCTTAGACCCCACCCTTTGCCGCTGGGGAGGTGTTCACAAATAGTCAACATATTGGTCGCATCTTCATAAATAAAGAAGTGTGACTGGCTTGTGGCGTGGCCAAGGTGGTCGGGGGTCTGGTGGGCAAGGCGCACGCGTCTGCACACCCAGAAGTTGCACGTGTACGGCTCACCCGAAAAACAACAGCGAGAACAACATGCACAGAGGGTGGGTGGCTTGCCCCCAGCCAGCACTTTGCCCACACAGAAACAATTGACTCGACAAGATTACATGCAGGAAATTCAATTTTAAAAGCAGCTGCCACGTGTCCTTTTAGTGCTTGAAATTGTTACAGTTATTGAGCTGGTCCTGGCCAACGGCCTGATGCGACGTGTGGGCTGTTGTGGTAATGGTAATCGTAATGCTGGTGGTGGCCGTGGTGGTGGTGGTGGATTTCCTAGGCTAAAGCGACCAAGCAGGCAAGCGGCCAAGCGACCAAGCTATGAATGTGTAATTTTGGCAACATCGATGAAAATTGAGCAATAAACGCGCTGCGCCGCGCTGCATTGCGTTACAAATAAACAAAAGGCCGCTGGCAGTGGCAACGGAAACGGAACACACACACCACCAGCCCACCAGCCCACCAGCTCGCCAGCCAGCCCATCAACTCACCAACGCAGCCTATCATCAGCCCACCAATCCAACAAACCAACAACCCACGACGGCGGCGACGACGTGTTAATTTGCAGGGTGGCTTTCTAGCCGCCGGGAAAGGCAACGGCGACGGCGGCGACGACGACGCTGCGGTGGCTAAAAGGGCGTGTGATTGACTTAATTGACTATGAAAATGAGAAATTACATGCAGATAATGACGATGGCCGCGAAATGAACAACAAACAACCGCTGGCAACATCAACAGCAACAACAACAAGAGCACCAACAAGGACAACAACCTCGCAAGACGTTATTAAATTTTCAAATCCCCAGCCCCTCTCGCTAATCCCCAACCACTAACAACTGTAAAATGCGCCATCAACTTTGATTTAATTTGATTTGATTTGCTAGCACCCAACCACCCAAAGAAGACACAAACCCCTCCCAAAAAAAAAAAAAAACCTACTTCCAACCTGGCCCAGCCGATCCGAACCGAACCCATGTCGCAGCCATTTCGCAGTTTCCCAGCGCACCTCGACGCCCCAGGGCGATGTTTTCCGGCGCTTTATTGCAGCACATTGGCTAATTAGAATTGCGACTTTGCGACTTTGTAGCCCTGCCACAATGTGTGAGAGTTTTGTCATTAAAATTGCATTTTATTTGCGGACAACGGTCAAGCCGAGACCGAACCATACCCAACTAATTGAAAAAACCCTGCATAGGCTCCCCCGGCTAATATGTCATACGACTCTACCAGAAGAACTAGCTGAAGCAGCTATTTTGTAAGAGATTTGTATCCACGTTGAATAATATTTGTACATTTATTCAATCACAATTTTTATTTGATTTGTTAAATACTTTTTACGGGCGCTTTAAAACAAAATTCATATTTAAGAGATATGGTAAACAATCTGTGGATATGGAATGATATTTGTCTAAATAGCTAGCCCACGCAATTATTTGTCGGTATGATATGTCGGCACGTTTAAGCTGCTGGAAAATGTTTTTATCTGATTTGTAAAATAGTTTTTAAGGTAATGGTAGAGAAATTAAAGTTTCAGGTGGAAATCAAGTTTGTTAATTTGTTACAGATATGCAATATGCAGATTTGGGTGAATATCAGACACTCATTAATCAGTTTTTTTACTGGTCATTAAAGTAATTTCAATTGGGATTAAATAATTGCTAAATAAGTAAATAATTAACAAACAAACACCAAAAATGAAAATGCCTCATCTAAAGAAAGGCTTTATGCTCGCTCACTATTGAAAAATAAATTCCTTCAACAACAAATACTCATTTATTAATTGTTAAGGGATATTAATTATTTCAACACAAAATATCTGTAAATTGATAAGATATTTTTTTTTAGAATTCTACATGATCAATTTTTCAGACAAATTTAGAAAATTTAAGGAAAATGTGCTTTAAAATATATCATAAGAACCAAATGTATCACAAATGGTACACTAATAGACTCTTTAGCTCTAGCTTTGTTCTCTAAGTGAGTTAAATTTAATAGAGCTAATTCGCTCGAGACGCTGTGAAGTATTAGTTTCTACCAATCAAACAGAAGGATGCAGGAATTATTGTTCGATTATTGTGTTATATCTTGAATTGAGCGGTCCGAATTGCTTTGACCAATGGGAGGTGCCTGCCTGGAGGCTTATCTAACGGCCAGCCCCCTAATGGAAGCGAAATCAACGAAAATGTTAAATTGAAAAATCACATAACGCATTTGTTGACGCCCACTTAGAACAAGTGCCAGCTCACTGCGTACGCCAATTAAATGTCATTTCAGTTTCACACGCAACGACCATGCCAGATATGGGGGCTATACGGGCCATAGGAGGTATATTGGACATGGACTTGGAGCACCCGGGGAGCGCCAGCTCAAGTGCCTGCTGATTCGCGCTGGACGTTGTTAAATCAAAAACGCAATTAACTTTGGCCTACAATCAAAATAAAGGGTATAGAAATCAACACAACAAAAGTGCTTTTGTTGCTATTGTAGAGTATAGCCAGAAACTAGGCAGAGCTCGGTCACTTATCGATTATTTTATATTAATTGTAAACTCATTTATTTGCTTAACGGTCTTTACTTGGCCTGTTTAATTTCTACATTTCTGTTCATTGATTTACGTTTATTTTGTGATAAATTTATGTATGTATACGTGTATATATATATATATATATATATATATGCCTGTCTGTGCGTGTGTGTATATCGTAGTATTATTTTGCGTTAATCAATTTTTCATTACAAACTGCCCACATTCGAATAAATGTCGTTGACGTTGTCGTTGTCTGGCACTGTCTGCCAGCCTTATCAATGCCAAATTTGAACAACAAGAGCAACAAATACAAAAAATAAATAAAATCAAATAAAAATAAATATAAAGAACAACAACATTCATTATATCGACTGAAATCGGAGCTGATTAAGCGTTGTAAGTGGCGTTCGACTCACATGGCATTCTACGTACTCCTTGTTCTTGGGACTTGTTGACAAGTGCTTCGGGCTGCTCAGCGTGGCTTGAAGTGCTGCTCGTATTGTTGTTTTTGTTGTACACTCGCTGACCTTACCTTGTTCTTATTACCCAATTACTAGTCTCTGCCAAGTATTTGCCAACTTGAGATGAGGCCAGGCCATGTGCTAAAACATGAAAAAGCAAACATATTTCAGGATACAACTAAATAAAGAGACTTTAGCGACTTAAATGCATACTTATTTTAATGTAACTACCATGAAAACTCTCATAACGGACGCTCCTATTAGGCGGACACCATTCTTGGTAAAATTGTAAATACATGGCAACTGAAAGGGGAGCATGGCGAGAGTGCAGCATGGATCATGCTGAATATCAATGACAAATGAGTACAAGAACAAGAATAATAATATCATTGAATTCTCAAGATTAAAGTGACAATGAACCCACAATGGGCATTGACAGACAGGTGAAAATAAATTAAAACCGAATAGAGATAAATTACAGAATATAAAAAATGAAGCAAGTAATTGTGCTCTAGTTGAGAGTGTCCGACTAGTATATGACGTATAAGTCTTTCGCATTTCCCCTTTAAGATTGTGCAAAACATATGTGGAAATACATTTGCATTTACGCAAAACCAGAATTCTGTTCTATTTCACGGAGCCAAAGGAAGGCATATATTTATATGTGCGTAAAGCGAAGAGGAGGGTAATATTGCTAGATTTTTATTTTTCTCTTAATGCATCTGCTAATAGTCTATATATCTAAAGATCAAAAGTTTCCCTGGATCTTAACCAATATTGATTAATATTATTCCAATATTTGTGAATGGCATTTAAATATCAAAGGTATTCGCTGTACCAATTGTGAATTGTGCTTAATTCGTCGATTTAAAATAGTTTAATTTAAAATATAGAGATATGAAGATGCACGAAGGGGGATAGTGAAGTGATTGTCGGAGTAAACAATGACTTTCAGGTATATTCAGAAAAATTAATAAATTTATAACTATTTAGTGCACGCAATATCTTGGCTGCGAACACAATTTAAATACAGATTGTGGGTCAGCTCTATCTACAGCCTGGCACCGCATCCATCAAGCGCTTACCCCATCGCTGCTGGCGTTCTCGAATTGATAAGCTCGCACGTTTGTACTCGACATGACGTCCACGCATGCCTAGCAATGTATCGATGTGTGTGACGCGATCGCTGGCCAAGCTGTCCGGTCGTGCAAGACATGTCGCTGATACGGCCGGACACTCACACACAAACAGAAATAGTGGCAATCAGGTTGACGCCGATTGGCGACCAGTTTGCACCTTGCGGGAGCTGTTCGAACATGGCTTATCTGAAAGTAAGCGGGCAACAACAACAATGAAAAAAATAATATTAATAATAATAACAAAAAGTTTATTATTGTGTTAACTTCAACAGCCGCTGCCGGGCAATATCAGTCTTGAGCAGCTATTACGTCTAATCTAGATGTTTGGTACTGAATGGCGCGTATAATCAACATCCTGTGCGATAGCCAAAACTTTATGCAAATAAACTTAATGGCCCCGGAACGGGGGGGTGGAATTTACGATTTTTAACAACCCAAATTTATAAGCCAATTAATTGAGGTGGTATTTTTATGGGGCCACTCGGATCAGAAAATATAAATATATAAGCTAACACCTACTTTTATATATACTCTACATTATTTTAAAATAGACTATTTAATATAATCTTTTGGCAAAACTGGATACCAATTATCACAATACAGAATAAAAAATAATCTATGCAAATGTAATTAGTCTTTGTATTAAACTATGATAATTGTATTTAACTTTGATATATACTCAAAAAATCGAATGAGTTTACAAATGTAGCTGGAACTGGTTGTCGTTAGATAAATCTAAATAAAAAAGAATGAATAAAGAAATCATAAAAATAGTATATAATATTTATGGTACTTCAGTAATCGCCGAGTTTATGGCCAGTGTAAAAATGTTGCTATTGTTGTTGTTATTGTTGCTGCGCAAAATATATGACCAGGCACTCGATGTTTATTAATACTCGCAATGGTTATAGTTAAGTTGTGTATACCCTTTCCCTAAGCATATTGCCAACGACAAGCCACAAAACTGTTATTTAGTGGAAGCTTAAATACTCATACGACTGGTGGTTGGGCAGACCACCAGGTAGACGACTAATTGTAGTCTCTGCCTATGGCTTTCTGTTAAAGAGTCGCCGGCAAGATTCGTTTCGACTCGAATACAAAACTATGGACAGAGTATTGCGCAGTCGACTGCACCCGCCTGCAATGTGGCACCTTGTATTCAGATGACAAATGAAAACTTAGAAGCCAATAGTGACATTCATACGAATGTATGTGAAGGTATGTGTGTATTCGATGTTTCGTTTCGTGGCTCTTGAGTGTTTTCAGTGCTCATTGATGAGTAATTTAATTTGTAGTTTATTCGAATAGCACTTGTTTATTTTATGAGATACTCCAAAACATCTACTTGAGTTCGAGTTCTTTATTTGCTCAAATTATGTGCCCTCACATGGAGTATAGAGTTAAGAGGGCCTCTGGCCATGTCCCATGATTGCTGATTGTCTCTATTGATGCGGCTTGATTTCGTTGTATTTACAATGTATGTTGTAAATGCTACTTGTTCGCAATAATCTGGTCATTTAGTGCAGACATGCCCCGGTACAAGCTCATTATACCACACTTACCTGCCATGTAGTTTAGCTGCTTTTGTGACTGACTGCATATTACGGCCACCCACTAAATTAGCTATTGATGGCCATAACATAAAGTCAATATGTGGCAACCGGGCAATTATAGTGCCATACCGAGCCCCATTCGCATTGAATGCATCGTCTGGGGCCGGGGCGGGCTTATCGCGAGGCAGCATTTCCAAAGTCCAAGCGGCCCCTGAACGTACGGGCGGGTATTATGAGTGCTGGTAGTACAATTCGTATAATCATTAATGGATTACGATTCCAATCGCCGGGCTGCAGACCTAAACGGTAGCTAAAAGCCATAATCAAGTTGTATTTATGAGCTGCTTAATGTTTTTACCAGGTGCTCGCACCTGACACCTCGTGGGGAGGCTCAACTCTTTGAACCGCTATCTGCAGCTTGTCAACACTTAATGCCCCTGCAGCTCTATCCATCGTATAGTGCATTACTCCGTATAACGTGGGCTAAATTAAGGTGAATAAAGTAAATCGAGAGACTAATCTGATCATGCCTAAATATATCTGATTAATAAATATAAATATATGTGCAAATATTCTTAACCCAACTTAATTGTCTTCTTAGATATATTTATCGATCGGGAAAAATGACTTTGATGCAAATAGCTTAAAATTAAACTAACTTTGTTCCCAAGCATTGGAATAATCTGGCCACATTTAACAGATGCCAATTTGGGCTAGATATTAATATTAGCCCGCAATTTCTATATGAAAATATACATGGCATTGCAATATTTTCAGTAGAACGGGCAGCTATAAATTAAAAATTGAATTGTTTAACGAATCTTATCAATGCATATTAGAAAGGTTTGCACTAAGGAATGGGATGTGTAAAACAGGGTTAAGGGAAGGAAGCCGTCAGACAGGGAATTGGCTTGAACTGTATCGGTTAGTTGGGTTGGATAAGTTAGTTCATTGATCCCAGCTATACAATATGTATTATACTTATATGTACCTTAGTAGGAAGTTTATAAAGACGCACAGCTGTGCGCCCACGTCAATGCCAACATAGCATAAGTTGAAATCAAAAGAAAGTTAAGTCTACAAATTTTAATTTGTTATAGAGACTAGCCTCCTTTTTCTGATTTACAATATATATAGAGTACAGATAATGACTCAGATTTTGTGGTTTCGAATATTGTTTTTCTTGAAGGAATTACAAGTTTTGTGTCCGAACTGACAAGAAATACTTCTCTTTCAAGAACATTTTCTTTAACGCATTCTATTAATATTGTTTTGAATTTTTTATTTTTTCCTTATATTACAAATACATTTGTTAAGTTTTATTCTGTGTGTGTGTGTTAACATTTATGAACTCATTACGCGCTATAAATTCAAAGAGTTTGTTTTTATTTATTTATGCACTATACAAAAAAAAATAGTTGATTATTTTTGGATTTTATAATTATAATTTTTACATTAACAGTTACGACTTCGCATGTATGTATATATGTATTTATTGTGTATAAACAAATGTTATTATGCCTACAAATTGGACACTAGTTTTTTATTGTTTAAAAAATATGTACACGATTATTTGTTGTATTATCTGCATTGATATTTGAAATATATATATATATATATATATAATGTCATTTTCATGAATTTATTTCCCTCTTTTCAGTATGTACAAAACGAATTTATAAATTTTTGTATATTTTATATTTGAATAAAAATAAGATTTAATTTATTTAGGTCTAGGCGAAAAAAAAACTTGTCTATATATCTAGTATTTTATAGGTATTAACGACTTTTGTTAAAAAAAAAAAAGGTAAAAAAAAAACTTATTGCTAAATGGCCTGCAGCTTTAGAGCTGCAGGAAAAAAAAATTTTTTGTATTTATAGCGATTTATTACACGAATGATATATGTTGTTGACATTATTGCACATGCAACATGCAACAACAACTTTTGCTTGGCGAAGAATTCTTCAAGTAGAGCACTTTCTGCTCCCGGCTTGGCCTTGCCACAAGCTTGTGGCAGCTGACGCCTTCCGCTTTTTTTTGCTTGCTTTTTTTAAATTTTATTTTTTTGAGAGGGGAGACGGGGAGTTGGAGTAGAGGAGAGTGCGTCAATTGCTTGTTGTCGACCCATTGTTATATATTATTGCACCAATTTTGTTTGTTTGTTCGAATTCCCAACCGAAATGTGCCACAATTTGTGGCAGAGTCACACAGCTGCGACTTTGACAGCGAGTTTATTGTCCAGTATTCGAGTTACCAGTCATCTGGCCGCTCCCAGCCGGCTCTGCCAACTCGAATCTAGGCAGCTAGCAATATTAGGGCCACCAGGCGGCGCGCTGCGCATGCGGATGGGCGTGGGCATGGGCATGGGCGTGGAGACCAGCCGCTGCGGCAGCCGCCGCATGCTGATAGGCGGCAGCACCGTTCAGCGCCACCAGATGATGTGCGGCGGCATTCTGCATCGCGGTGGCAGTGCTCACACAATCCTGTGTCAGCTTGGAGCCATCGCCCAGACACGGCTTGCCATTGCGCACCAGCACGGGCACGGCAACGCGCCGTGGCGACGGCAGCGCAGACGGATGATGTGGATGTGTGGCATGGCCATGCAGTAGGCCCGGATGCTCATAGCCCTTCTCGTTCTGTGCTCGCTTGGTCTTGTAGCGATGATTCTGGAACCAGATCTTCACCTGCGTCGGAGTCAGCCTTATCAAACTAGCCAGGTGTTCGCGCTCCGGCGCGCTTAGATACCGTTGCTGCCGGAAACGCCTCTCCAGCTCGTACGTCTGCGCCTTGGTGAAGAGAACGCGCCGTTTGCGCTTCTTGTTGGGCATGCCGTCGGCGTTGACGCCGCCGCCGCCGCTGCCATCCGCATCGTCCACATCGTCGATGTCCTCTTCGATGCCATCCTCGTTCAGGCTGTCGTCATGGGCGCTGCCGCTGCCGGCGCCTGCGTCATGCTTCAGGCTATTGTTGTTGTTATTGGTATTATTATTATTGTTGTTATTATTGTTGTTGTTATGCAACGCATGCGCCGCTGAGCTGCCACCGGCTGTACCGCCAGCATGCAACGTGTGCAGCGCATCGCCTACGGAGAGCGCATCGCTGTCCGCCGAACGGCTGTAGCTTTTGTAGTCGCCGGAGAGAGCCGGCGACGTTTGGCAATTGGAGCCTATGTACGTGTAGGAGACCTCCGACGTGACGGGCGAGGTGCTGTCCGGGCTGGCCGGCTGCTGAGTGCCTGCAGAGAGAGAAAAGCGGAGAGCGAGAGAGAGGTTACTAAGGGCTTGGCATACACTGGGCTATATAAAGACAACTAACTAAGCGCAGTAAGCAACTACCAAAAGCAAAATACAGTTTAATATTAATTAATAAAAATCCCTATCAATTATTTTATGCCGAATGTTTCTATGGCAGCTAAGTATAGGATGCACTATCATAACTTGATAATTCTTAAGCTACATTTGATTTTTATTAAAAATACCAAGATCTTCGCGCACTTTCATTGCTCAGTATAGTTACGGAGTCAATTTGTCAACAATTTGGAAAAATTAATTCACACACACACACACATAGCCAAGCACAGAGTGGCAGACATACCCCAATCAGCATGAACAGGCAGAATTTGGCAGCGGTGCTAAATGAATAGTCAGTGGGTAAACAGATACAACCGCCAACGACTCGTACAATTGGATTATGCTCTGCAGCTAGGCGGCGCGGGGCAGAGATCGTGGTGGCCAGATGCGAGCTACCCTCCTCGAGCCACACCGCAGCGAGCCCAACTAATAACGTCAATTAGAGGACCGGGCCATTGACAAGGCTCGATCGATCGTCGGGTGCTACCTGGCTGCGTTTGCATTCCCTGCCCCGCGGGGCAACCCTGCGGAGTTACACCTTTTGGGCAATTGCTCGGCTGCCTTCTGACCTTCGAGGTGTTGCCTTTAGCGTGTAGCGTGTATGTATGTGTGCGTGTGCGATCTTTTTTTTGCTGCTGTCATTGTTTGCCGTTTTGAGAGAGAATACACAACCAAATGCTAATGAAAATACATTAAGGTTTGAAACTGGGCAACCAACTGGGAGACAATGGGATGCGACACAAAAGCCAAACCTCAAACAGAGCTGCCTTCTAATGGCCGCCCTGCCCCTGACTTCTGTGTCCCTCTGCCAGCATCCGGCTCCCTTTCTTCCGTTTTTGCCGCTTTACCCGACTCTCGGTCGGTTTGCCAATGCTGCATACGCCCCCTTTTTTTTCATATAGGGATATAGTTACTTTGATTTATCGCACATGGGCGTTCAAGCTGTTTGATATGTTTTTCCTCTGTTTTTTTATTTTTTATTTGGGTGTGATCTATGTAGAATATTGCACAGTATATTTATTACATGCATGCAAGGCTGGCTTTAATGATTCGCATTCCTTCAATCTAGACTCAGTCCATGCCCCAGACCAATCTAAGCTAGCCCCAGTCCAGTTTGAGTCGTGCACTAGAATCGTCTTCACCATGACAACTCAACAAATTAATAACTTAATATAATCAAATCGACTCGACTTACAGCTGTGAAATTTCCCAAAAAATAAAAAAAAACGGCAATCAGGCAACAATTATAATTTGTAGCTGAGCACCATATCAACAAAAGACAAAAAGAAAAAATTGGAATAATAAAACAAGGAAAGGCCGTGCAAAACCGAAAAAAAGGACGAAGCGGAAGTGCGTGCCATAAATTTTCAGGCTTATATGAAAGGAATGACTGAACAATGTTGTGTCCGCGACAACAATAAAGGGGGGAAAACGAAAGCAACATGGTACCAAATAAAAAAAAAAAAAATAAACGGAAAAGAAAAAACAAGAAGCAAAAAAAAAAATAAAATAACAAAATTAATCCTCAAGTGTGAAGCGCATACAAACTATTAGTCAAGATTATGTTGGGCCACAGTTTCTAGGGTATGTACTCGTAAGCGCCCAAAGGGGTGGTTCCGACCGCGGGCACTTCGCGTTTCAAGCACCTGAATCGACACATATCGCATCTAACACTACACTACACCACAATACAAAGCGTCTGCTGATCGGGGCGTGGCATAGGGCCACAGCCAAGGGTTAGCCCTCATCGAGCCCTCAGCGAATGGTTCCCACTGACTGACGTCGCCAGTAGATATGCAAACACAGCTGCCTTTTGTGAGGCAATTATTGAACAATATTATTAGGCGTTCGCTCTCAAAATTCCATACCCCTGCCCGTTTCCGATTCCCCAGCTAAAATAATTCCAGTAGCTGCAGCTTGACTTTACGAGAAACGTTTTACATGCATGTAACAAAATTAAATTAGTCCCAGAAGCTCGATAACTTATAGGCAGCTATGTATTAACTTGTGTTTAGGCTTTAAATAAGAATATTTAATAGCCATATTTTCAAACTCAACATATGAAATTGATTTTAAAAAACGATTATAAAATATCTTTATTGTCGCATTAAAAATGAACTCTTCTGAACGATATAAGAAAACGTTTAAAAATGATAAACGAAAAATCTAGTCAACTATTTGATTGAGGGATTCTTTTCATTTCTTGAAAGCTATATTTGGTTTCAATCTAAGGAATCGTTGTTTTTTTTTTAAGCCTTTAAGGCTTATGAGAAATAGCTACGATTTGTGAATGCACACTTACCATAAATTTCGTTCTCCTTGATCCAAGCACTGCGACCCGAGTGGGAGAGCATTGTTTGGGCCATGTGATGGTATGAGGACATTTCGTCGCCGAAGTTGCCGGCAAAGTTCTTTGGCAGATATTGGCCGGCGGCAACCGCTGCAGCGGCCGCTGCATTGTGACTGGCCAGCAGATGGGCAGCGGCCTGCGCTGAAGCGGCATGGGCATGGGCGCCCATATGGGGCATGGGCGGTTGAGCGCCGCCAGCGCTCTGGTGATGGGGCAAGTGCAGAGGGGCAACGGGCTGATGCGGCTGATGGTGCAGATGGGGATGATGATGTTGTTGCTGCTGGTGCTGGTGAAGGTGGATGTGTTGCTGCTGCTGATGGTGCGCCGTTTGCGCACTGTGCTCCGTGGTTTGATGATCACCATGGGCCGCGGGTGCTACATGCTCATCCCCGCTGCTGGGCGGCGGTGGTGGTGGCAGTGCTGAGCTGGGCGTCGGCGACAGTGTCGCTGGCGCTGGATGACCATGCCCATTACTGGACTCCGCGCCCAGTTCCGTGCTATGGCTGTGGGTATGATGAGCCGCCGCTGCCGCTGCCGCTGCAGCGCTCTTCAGCTCAGAGCCATCCAAATTGAGTATGTCGGATATATGAAAGCCGGAACGCTGCGAGGACGGCACCTTGGCATCAAAGAGGCTGCAAGTAGACAAGAGCACAGTTTTAATTGTCGATTCACCACTTCCAACACACACACACACACACACACACACACAACCACACACACGCACACTTGCTGCATATCGTTGTACGTTCTACATCCGACATCCGGTGTCGTGTCATGAATGAAATGGCCGGAAAGCAACACAATGGACGTACACTGCATTTTCGGGTCTAAATTTCTACCTGGCCAAGCAGCAAGTACCTGACGCGCTGACTTTGACGAAAATTGCACCGAGCTGCGACTCGGGCTTAGATTTTTCACACTTGCTCGGAATTAACTTTGATTAAGTGCCAGCCAAATCGCTGGATTATTGACACCTAGTCCCAGTTGCAAAACCAAAAGCCCAGTCACAGTTTCAGACCCAGTTTCAGTTCAGTTTCAGTTTTAGTTTTGGGCTAAGCTAGGGCTAATGCAAATTTGATTTTCCACTAATACCATCAACAATTAAACTCAAATCCGCTTTTGGTGCACCGCTGCACTACCTGGACTATCGGGCGATCGGGCGCGGGTCTCTTTGGTCAGGTCTAACCATTTTTCGGCCACATGTTGGCGCAAGTAAAAAGCGCTCTCGCTTCCGGTTTTTCCACGCTGAGTTTTCCCAAATTGTGCGCGCGAAATTCCCACGCGCTCAGGTCCATCAGGACGCGGGGCATTCCCCGCATGTCTGAGCGGAATTCCCTTTGCACTCGTCCCGGCCTTCGACCAGACAGTGTGACGCCGTCCACGTCGCCGCTGCTGTTACTGTTGCTGTTGCTGATGCTGTCGTCTGCTGCACACATGTTGCCAGGTTGGGGTTTCCCTGCAACTCACCTATGGGAATTTCTAAGCCAGCCAGGCCAAACAGATCGACGTCCGTTGCGTCTTTTGCCACTTGAGCTGCGATCGCCAATCAATGTCGGACAAGAGTGCTGCACACAATTACAGGACCTTGAGCATATTTGAGCATGCACTAGCCCAGCAAATCTGCGGATCTTGTCTGGGGGAATTACGTGTGGTCACTGTCACATCTTAAGGCTGCTTCAGGATTTGGGTAATTTGCTTTAGCAGGCTCTGCGCGGGGCAAGTGCCCGAAACAAGTAGATGGACAATGTTTAGGGAGTAAGTGCCTTGATTGGATTGCCTTGGCTCAGTGGCATAGCTCGTTACAGTTGCTGGCTGGCTGGCTTAGAAGGCAAAGTTCATTAGCTGACCGAGGCCTAAAATAACACAGACACGGGCCACGACGGCAAAGAGGGTGCTGCATGTGCCTTAAAAAACTATACCCTTAAATTACAAGGCTAAAAGGATTCTTTCAATATTACCAGTATTTGCAAATATTCTTTTAGCAAAATGAGATACTGTTGGTCTTAATCACATATATTCGAGGAATGTTTTTACCGCGGATCTATTCTATTTCTAACAGATATAAATGTATTGCATAAAGTTCATGTACGTTACGCACACGCTCAAATACGGAGCTAAGTTAATTAGTATATAATACAAATATGCATATTGTTATCATTATAATTACGTATGCTGATTTATCTACTGCTCATGGGCTTACAGGCCGACACAAATTACCACAGTTTCGGTTTGCAGCTTGTACAAGCTGCCTACTTTTAGTTTCGGTTCCTGAACATGGTTGTTTTTTGGTGAAAGGTTTGATTAATCGTTATGCCTAAATCTTATTTCTGTCGGAGGTTCGAACTCGAGCCATTTGTTCAGATGTCTGAATGTATATATGCAATATAAATATATTTGAATTTCAATGGTGCGAAGAAAAACTTACATTATTATATATTATATATTGATTAGAGCGAACAGTTTCTCTTCAAATTTTCTCAGGAAAACCGGAGTTTTCCTACTATGCGTAAATTATTTTATTTCTAGCTAAAAAACCCACTAGAAGAATTCACCGTGGGAAAATCCCAAAAGTAGCCACAATTTTCGCTATTCGCAACAAATGAACCATCGGAAAAATCGCACAAGTGCGAGGCGAGTTTTGCGTGTGAAAGAATTAAAAAAAGGGTAGAAAGACAGAGGGAGGGAGAGAGAGAGAGAGAGCGAGAAATGGCAATATCTCTAATCGGGGATTGCGGTTAGTGGGTTTTATCAATTTTGCTTACCCGGGCAAAGCGTTGCGCAGAGCCGCCGGATAAAAGGCAGCGGGCAGCAACGCATGGCTCCAAGGGGGCAGCAATATGGGCGACCAGGGCAGGAAAGGTGCAGCCGCAGCGGCCGCGACTGCCGCCGACGAGGGCACCATTAGACTGCTCATGCTGTGCAGCCCGGGGAAGCCGCTGAATGCCGCCGCGCCCGTTGGGATACGCAGCTGCTCGGCGGCCGCCAAGTTGGCACCACTCGTTGGCGTTGTTGTTGGCACCGTGGTGCTGGCGGTGCTTATTATTTTGGATGCCCGTTGCTCCACCGAGGGCGTCGATGTGCGCAGCGGTCTCTTGGGCGTTGTGGGCGTGCCAGGACTAACTGTGGCCGCACTCTGCGGCGAGGCAGGCAGGCTGCCGGCACTGCCCAGGCCGCTGCTATTGCCGCTGCTGTTGGTTGTCTCCGTCCGCTCACGCTCTCGTTCCCGACCCCGTTCCCGCTCGCGCTCCTTGTGCTTGGACGGCGTGCGCTCCAACGCCGGCTGGCTGTGCGTGGTGGTCATGTCCGTGGCCGTTGTGGGCGTTGTTTTGGGCGCCGGTATGGTTATCGGATGTGTTGCCGGTGGCGTCGCGTTGTCCGATTTTCGTCGCTGCTGCGCGGGCGGCGGCGTTGGCGACGGCGTACCTTTGCGTTTCTCCGCCACTTTGCGGCCGTTCAAATCACAAGTGTCACACGTGCAAAAAAAAGAACAACAATAACAAACACAAATCCAAAAGGATCGTATTCTACAACACTCTCTGCTGCACTGCAACACTATCTAACACTTGGCAAGAGCTTTGACTGTGCTGTCAGATATCATAATAATTTGGAATGCAATTCACGGGACGCGGAAGCGATGCAATTCAATAACGCGACAGCGATTACGTTAAGAGTCTTGATTTGGATTTTGGCCACAGATCAGCTTCAGTTTTTGATTTCAATCTCGTTGTCGACTCGTGCTCGGGTTGCGTTGTCAGCCGCACTCTAAACATTCCAAACTGAAGTGTCATCAACAACTAACGAGACATCAAGAACTCGACACGAGTCCAAGCAGCCAACGGCGCAAAAGTACCAAAAACTACTCTGCACACAGGCACGCTCAGACACACACACACACACACACACACACACACACACACTCATACATACATGGATGTAAGTGTTGTATATGGTGCATCCATCCACCATTGGGTATATAGCCTCATACACACACACAAACGCACACATGCACACCGCCATAGAGAGTCTCTCTGGCTCTTGTTTAGCCGCGGCGCGTTCGTCGCATTTTCACTAAGTGGCTTCTCATGTCCTTTTCAACAAGGATACTACGTCGGCAGCAGCAGCAGCAGCAACTATGTGAGTGGCTCATTCAACCACCAGCAAAAGCAAAAGCAACAGCAACAACCACCACCATTTGTTGTCCAACGCGCATCCTTGCGCCAAACAAGGCCAGCCTAGGCGTGTGTAAGCCTGCCATCTCGCTTGCACCCGCTCACAACTGCCAGCCGACGAGTGCCCACTTGAGCCGCCTCTCTATATACACGTGAGCGTGTGTGTGTGTGTGTGTGTGTGTGTGTGTGTGTGTGTAGAGAGCTGCCATTGTACCGCTCGAGTATCGGCCCTGTAGGCAGAGGCTGCCAGCCAGTCAGACAAGTCGCCGCATCCCAACATAGTCCAACGTTCTGCTCTGGACCTCTTTCATTCATGGGCACGGCGCTCAACTGGGTTGATGGGTTGACGGGCTGACGGGCTAGCTGAGGCGACTTCTGCCCGGTCCAGCACTTGATGTTGTCAACAATCGCCGTGTCATTATATTGTATTTATCATTATCGTCTCTCCAGTGTCCAGCTCCTAGCCCTGGCGGCTACTTATGTATGCGTGTGCATGAGCCATCAATTGTCCTGGCGGTAACGGGAACCCATTTGTGCGATATTAGCCTCATTTGGCATCTCATTAAAGAGTTTGCTCTTTAAGCTCTGTTTCGAGCTTATCAACTCTCACATATCTTTCAAAGTCGATTAATAAGTATGTAAACAGGACTTCTAGCTTTAAATAAGAAATAATCAAAGCTCGCTGGGATTGGGTAAAGCTATCCTGACTTCTTACAAGGCTCAATGTATATTTTCGTAGATTTCATACAATAGTCATGAATATATTTCACGAAGTTCCGAATTCAATTACTTCCAATTGAAAATGGAAATTACAATTTGTAATAGTTATTTACTGTTATATGTCTGCAATACTACCAGATTCTTAATTTAACAAAAATTTTTCATATATATTCATATATATTTTCATATCATATTACATACAACCTATACCGACAAATAATCGATAAAAGGGTATACTTCAAACTGAAATTATTGTACGTTATCCTTGATAACATCGACTAATATAAAATATACATTTTACTTAGCCATAGTAGTTAAATCGTTATAGCTCTAGCTTACACGGACCAATAACAAAAGCTCTATCTCTATCTCTATCTGGAAGTCAAGAAATCTAAACAGAAAGTTTCTTTAAATAAATCTCAGTAAAGATCACTTGTTATATTCACTCAAATAGGCTTTGAAATTAAAAAAGTTGTTTTTTTAAATTTGGGGCAATTGCTTAAATTTAAACTTGACCTCTTCCATTAAGAATCTGGATACATGATACAAGCGAATAAAGTTCTTAACAGAGTAACACATTCAGTGTATCTTTCAATGTATATTTATTTTTAATGTCGCTCAACCAATTAATTATTTAGCATATATTAATTACATAAATGAGCGTATATAGACGGCAGGTTGCTTAGGGAATGTATTATATAAAGGTATACATAAATGCACTTTAGTCTAAAAAGAGCAAAGGTATAAAGGTATTGTGTATAATAAAACCTATTGGTCGTCTTTTATAATATGTTTTTATAAAAGAACTTGAATTGAAGAAACTATGACAGAGAAGAGTATATTTAATTAAAATATACATAACTATTTTAAAGTAGAATTGTCTGAAAATATTTGCTATGCAGTGATCGATCGTAAAATAAAGTGTTTAAATTCCGGAGGGGGCTATATTCTCTAAAAATTGCAATATCTACAATTTTCATACACTTGTAGAGGTTAGTACAATTCGGTCATGATATGCGTACCGCATAAAAGAAGGCATCTGATATCCTAGATGAGCATCATATCCGAGTTGATATATGCATGCCCGTCCTTCGGTCTCACCATCTATGCAGTTGTCTGTGTTTATGCGAACTTGTCCCTCAGTCTTAAAGCTCTTAAAATTTTGCATTCGTCTGTATTTCTATTACAGACGGACCGTCCGGATCAAGCTTCTATATCACATAGCTGACATCGGTCGAAAGTTAAATTCCAAGCCCAACATTTCTTAGTTGAACTATGCTTCTTATATAAATACAAAATCCTATTAAGATCAGACCACTTTATCATATAGCTGCCATGGGGACTAAGTTTTTGTAAGAAAACGATATTTGTGTTATAGGATATCTATATCATGTTTTTACATATCTGAAGAGCCGTAAAGAATATGTATACAAGTGTACAAGTGTATCGGTGTGCCGAAGATAACCTAAGATAAATTGTGTAATAATTTCTAAGTTGCGACTCAAAGCAATTCATTTTTCTATGGTATTTGATTGTGTGTTATAATTTTCATCTAAGAAAACCTGTTTTAAATTAAAATATTTTTTGTTTAAATATTTATTTTTTTAGTTATTATTCATTTTTTACTTTAATTATTAATAGCTTTTAATATTATTCTAAATTTTGCATATAACATGTTAGTATCTTCAATATTAGTAACTGAACTGGTTGTTCAATGTTGTCGTGAGGACTTGCGAAGCACTTGAGGGCACAGCCGGCACATTTGAAATTCGATTTCATAAGTAAACCCATGATTAGCTCAGGCTCTGCACAACAACTCTATACATATATGTAGTCATATATACACACACACGCACACACATGTGGAGCTGACGCTTGTCTAATATTGGAGAACACACCCAATTGTGTAGGAGGCTATTTGGGGTGGGGGTGGTCGGGTAGCCAGTGTAGGGTCTGCTGATGAAAGGAACATAATCAAAACGACCATTAGCTAACTTGAACAATGCCAAGAGGACGCGTGCAGGGCGAAAAGTTTTAGCAATTGAAAAAATAACATGGCAGACATGGCGTGCATGAAGGGCCCCCATTCTGGATAATAATATATGTATATAGATGAATACATATATATAAATATATATATGTATATGGAGGGTCCCTTTACATAAGCAGATCCACATTTATGTGCATGGCACATGAGAGGCCACTGGCACTCTACGGCCGTTCATGGCTCGGATTACAAATGAAAATGGGAAAACACGCGCACACCTCATCCAAAAGCAAAACACACACAGAACACACGCCTGGGGAAATTACGTGTAATGCCGTCGGCGTCGCTGTTGCTGTTGCGCCGCTGCTGCCGCCGCTGCTGCTGTTCATGGCAATGCAAAAGTGGGCGCGTCACTGTGTTGCCGCTGGCCAATCGTAGTGCGGCGCGAGCAAGATAGCTAGCATGCATGGCGCACTTGCGCGCTGCTGTTGGGAAATTTCCCAAGTTGCCCAGCGGCAGGATAACGGTGCTAAGGGAAATTTTATAGCGCGGCAACGGTAAGCACCAGCAGCAGCAGCAGCAGCATATCGCACGCCCATTTTGTGCGCTGCCTCTTCTAAATACAAGTACATAGAGACCGCTATGTGCGTATGCAGTGTGTGAGTGTGTACGAGACTGTGTGTGTGTGTGTGTGTGCGTGATGGCTATTGTTATGCGCTTAATGATGATGTTGCATTTAACAATAGCAGCAACAATAAATACAACAACAACAAGAATAACAACCAGAGGGAAGCGAGCTAACCAAAGTAAAAGCCTTTCAACGTTGGCAGCGACGTCGCTGCGACGCGTCGCTTTGCCTGTTGTTGTTACTTTCGTTGTTGTTGCTGCTGTTGTTGCTGCTATTGTAGTTTTAGCTTCCGCAGGAAGTTTAAGTAGCCAGTCAGCGGCAACAACAATAACAACATGAATGAGCTCTCATATTGGCAAATGTATCTTGTATCTTGTATCTGTGGCATTCAAATTACATACAAATTCAATTGAATTTCGCGCACAAAACTTGTTCTGTTTTCCCGGCAGTTTCTGCTCCGTCCACCAATTTATTTATTTATTTATTTGTTTCTTCTTTCTAACACTTCAAAGTACTCTAGCGGGTTGTTGTTGTTACGCTTGTTGTTTATTGAAGTTGTTGTTGTTGTTCTTGTTGTTGTCGTTGTTGTTGTTCGTTCGCTTGGCTCTTGCCCATTTGTATTTTTGTTAAGGGTTAAGTAACTCAAATCAATTGGCTCATGTTATCGTTGTCCCTTTTTTATTTTGTTAGCCAATGGATTTTATATCTTCGCATTTAATAGATTCTAATTTATTTGCATTGCATTGAGCGTTAGTGTCTTAGCTGGCGAGTTTATTGTGTGATTCCCTTATTGCCAGCAATCCAACGCCCTACAAGTAGGTGTGTTATTAGAGCCCTATCATCTTAAGCAATTAACAATAACTCTTCATTAAAATGAAGAAAGTTTAATCATATGTAGTAGTTTATATCTACAAAAGGAACCAACTATCTAAAGATACTATCTCTTGTTTCTAAATATTATTTTGAATAGAGCTAACTCTCAACGTAGAAGTAATGATTAAAGCGCTTCCCATTCAGATGTTTTAAACCAAAACTGCAAATCAGCTTTAAGACTTTAAGAGAAGTCACATAACTAACATGACGCCTTTGTAAATCTTACCAAATTTGGTAGATGCCAATATTGGGTAGATATCAATTATTAAGCCTGCAAATTTCGAGACGTCTTAAATTAAAAATGTTCAAAATTTTTAAGCAACAAGGCTTAAACCAAAACCTCATTTGAAATATGTGGTTCCGAACCTAAGACGAGGTTCCAGCTGGTTCGAACCGTAAACTGAGTTATCAACATTCCCAGGGCGTGCAGCCCTGTTTCTATCTATGAATACAAATAAGTTTGTTAAATTAAATCTGAAGCTTATTTTCAGTTTCGAATTTTTTGTAGAAAGTTTGAATATCGCAATATCTTTCTATAGATACAATAAATATATGCTTTTAAAATTATAATTACCTCGGCACTTGAGTATTTGAGTATTAAGTATAATAAATAGTTAGATCTGAGTGACAGGCTCTGATTGACTGATTGAG